TGCACCGGGGGTGGGTAGACAACCAGGCCTCTTAAGATGCATCCACAGATGTCATAGGACTATCAGCAAAAGAAAAATAGAAAATGAAGTCAAAGACTTGTGTTCCCTTGTTCATTTATACAATTAGCAAACCATCAGTTGAAATCGTTCTTATTTGATCATTTCAATGGACATCTCAGTTCAGAAGAGTATATCTGTTTTAAGTGAGTTTTTCCTGTTAATTTAAATTGATATACCATATTATTGCAATTTTCGTACAGATTGTTTCTTCTAAAAGATGTGTTAAGGAAAAATGCATTTTGAAGTAAAATTGAATAACAGAGTTTTATCTAATTATATGATTCCCCTTTCTCTGGTACATAACATCACTGAGTTTTGAAAGCAGCTCCATTCTTGCAAGACTGCAGCACAGGACCTGCACAGAGAGAATGCCAGGCAGAGTGGATACTTCTGTCCACTCTTTCTTTGGCCTTCTCTTTTATTACAGACATCTCACTCCTGAGAGAAACACCTATAAGTATCTAGTGATTAAATAGTAGCCAAATGACAGTCTTAGGATAGACACCCATGCTGGAATGGTGCTCTCTCAGCCGGCCCTCTCTGTCTGTGCCAGCTGTTCTCCCCACTGGCCAGTCACACATGCAAGGACAGCACCTCGGTATCTCCAGGGCTTATCACAAGATTTGGCATTTTGTAGTCACTGAATAAATACGAGTAATTGTTGACCAACTGCTAATGTTTGATACATGAGGGTACTTCAAAAAGTTCTTGGAAAGTAGAATTAAAAGATAATATCTTTTCATGAACTTTTGAAGTACCCTCATACTTGATTTGAAATCTGAGATTTGAGGGAATATGAAATACTGAAACTAAGATGACTAGTTTAAAATATCAAAATAAGATTAGAGGAGAAGGAGTAAAAGGGAACAGAAGAAAGAACATGGGACAGTAGACAGAGAATCACAGTAGAAGGGAGAAGGAGATGGGTGAGACTTGAGAATGTGCAGGGGGATTGGCACAACAGGGTGTACTAATATCTGATTTCTCTTTATAGTATCCTGTTCAGTGCTGTGGTTAGTAGTGGATAGAATTAGTATTGTGGTATCCTGATCCTTAACACATGAGAATAAATCTAATTAATGAATTATTCTATATTATCTCCAGGCAAAAACAATTTTGAAAAATCCATCAATAAAAAGAAGAGTGGATGAAGCGTATTCCTTAGCAAAGAAAAGTAAGTTTCAATATTAAAGAGACTACAGTTAAACTTGGAAGCTATTAAGTGAATTCTCTGATCAATGAAATATTTGGACAGGCCACAGTAAAATGACAGTCTTCTGCATGATTTTACTAGGATTTGAGGAGCTTTTTATTTTAAAGCATTGTAAAATATGCTAATAGTTGGTCCGTGCTTTTCATCATAACATTTTTTAAATAATAAAATGAAGGTCTGAGATATAATAGTTTCTTAAAATGTGTCTGTGATCCTCCTCCAAGTCATTTTTTCTTGGACTAAATTTCCTTTGCTAATGGCTACTGCTGTGCTGAAGTATGTTCTTAGGTGATAAGAACTGGACCCAATTAGAATTAACCTTGAACAGAAAACTTTGATCTAACATCAGGGAGTTGAATTATAGACTTCCAAGAATAGATCCCATTGCCCTGTATTCATGTTCCGTTGTGATCTGGTCATGATACAAGAGAGGGCTTTCTTTTCAAAGAGTGTTACTCATTTAAAGTGACACCAGTTTTTAGTGAGCATTATTCTCTGAACATTTTTTATGCCAAGACATAAAAAATGAACTGTTTCTTTCCTGTACTGTAATCTGTTGGTTATTAATTTGTGTTTTTAGAGTCTGACTTTAAGGGGGGTTGGTTTATTTCTAGCTGTGACTGTGAATTTCTGGAGCTAGTGAATAATTGAGTTACATTAAAGTTTATGCTTTAGGGGGGATGATACATAAGAAAGAGTAATGACATTTATTTGGAATTACAGTTAATGGTATCCATTATGGAGTTGTATTTTTTAAATACTTTTTGGGTAAATCATTAATAAAAAATAAATTGAATTTATTTATTTAATAAAATGAATTTATTTATTTAAATAAAATGAATTCTATAACTTCTTAATTTTTTAAAAATGTAAAATATTCTTAGAAAACTAGTATATTAAGAACTTAAATAGAACTTTATATATAAATCCTACTCATATATATTTGTGTATGTGTATCTACTCTTAAGTATAGTACTCAGTTTAAGAAACTGGTATTTCAATACTCTTATTTTTCTATTTCAGCTCTCCCAAACTCAGAAGAAAACCCTCTAAATGCCTATTATTTGAAATGTCTTGAAAACCTCATGCAGCTCCTTAACTCTTCCTGAGTGCCATGAAATGTGCTGCCCTAAATCTGACAGCCCCCCAACAGGGGTGCTAAACTTGAGCCAGCTTTGTGTAGCAACTGTTACCTGAAGACTTGATAACTCTCTGCAAGGTACTGATGTCCTTCCTTCCTATGAGAAACAGAACTAGAGGCATTGAAAGAAGTAGACCTGGTGATGCCTTCACTCCATTTGTAACAGCTCTCTAGAAGTAATAGCAGCTGACAAAGAGAGGATGGAAAAAGACATGGAAGGTTCCAGAAACAAACATTTGCTACCATTTTCTATGCAATTTGTTATGTAAAAATCCTATTTAACAGTTATTTAATAAAACAAAATATTTTTAGAAACTGAAAATTGGCTAATTGCTGCTTGCAGATTTTTATCAGTCTTATGAGTATATTCATTTTAGGAATTGAAGGCATTGTGTTCTGTTTTTTTTGTTTTTTTTTTTAATTTTGACATGAAACTTGGCCCCTGTCAGTACAGGTCCTTATTTTTCAAACCTTTGTTTTCCAGAGCATACACACTGGTGAAGGGATATGTATGTAAGTGTTTATAATTTTGTGAGTAGCTCCCTTGTGCAATTTTTAGTGATACTTTAACTCCTTTCTAGATGATTTCTGAATCAGTTTTTTAATTTTCCCTTTGGCTTCTGAAATGCTGTGTAATAAAGAAGGAAAAAATAGAGTTGTGTTCATATAGGCCTGAGTTCCCTAGCTCAGACCAAAACATCATGAAGAACAAGACTGAAAAATACAAGAGAAAGCTCTGTAGAGTATTCCATTACGTAATTCTTAACTAACATGTAGGTTTGAACTTAGTACTTAAACCAAAATCAAGTACTAATCATTATGAGCAGTTTTCCCAATACTTTTGGAAGAGAAAATTGTCTAAGAAAAAGCTGAAATAATGTGTACACACAGATATACATATATATCTGTGTGTACACGTATGTACACACTCATTTAGGAAAATGTTTTAGGAAAAGTTTTTCTAACAATTATGGTTAAAAAGAAAAGGAAAAAAAGTCATATTTAAGCACTGTTAGCAAATTGCTAGCTGACATCAATAAACTGAGCCATGTGAAGTAATTTAAGCTGGACGTATAAAGACAAAAAATGCTGAAATAGAAGCAGATAAGTTTGTAGTGTCTGATAATGATTAGAGATCTGAAAAATCTAGGAAGCCCAGAAGTTTTTGAGCAGCACAAATTAATTTCAAGTAATGGACATGCCGATATTCTGGAAAACTCACCAATTTTAAGAGCAGAAATCTTAGGATTTATTTCTCCCTTTCTCCAGGTTTCTTATATTCTATGCTATTGAGATGTATTTCTTTGTAACTTCCATTATAGAGCCCTTTCTATGTACCAGGCACTATTCTGAGAACTTTTATTATTTATCTTCTTTTAAAATATTACTATGAGGGGTTTTCAAAAAGTTCATGGAAAGATTCATAGTACCTTTTAATTCTGTGTTTCCACACACTTTTTGAGCTACACTCATGTTATCCTTATGTTAGTGTTGAATAAACAGAGGCTCAGAGTGGTGAAATGATTTGCTCATTATCTGTGGCTGGTGAATAATGAGGCTGAGGTTAGAACCCAGGATAACTGCCAATGTCAATAAGCCTGACTTTGTTTTTAACCTCTGTGCTATGATGCCTCTTTTTTGCCCCTGCCTTGAAACATCTGTTTTTGTGTTTGGATCTTATAGATAACCACTGCCATTTTGTACAAAATTGTGATCTCTTCAGGGAAATGATCATTTCCTTTATGGTTCATTGATTGATTTATTCCAGAGTATACTGTGCTTCATCTCTTTGGAACCAGGAAGAATTGTAACTGATTATTCTCTGTAGCTGCTCACCACAGTACCTATAGGGCAATGTGTAACCTAGGTGTCAGAACCTCTCAGGAATGTTACCTGCTGAAGCCCAGCAGGACTGTAGACCATGCAAAAAGGAAAGGGTGATGGCCTCAGGAAAATTTGTGTCTGTTNGAACCAGGAAGAATTGTAACTGATTATTCTCTGTAGCTGCTCACCACAGTACCTATAGGGCAATGTGTAACCTAGGTGTCAGAACCTCTCAGGAATGTTACCTGCTGAAGCCCAGCAGGACTGTAGACCATGCAAAAAGGAAAGGGTGATGGCCTCAGGAAAATTTGTGTCTGTTGGTGTCCAGGAACATGAACCTCAGGGTAGTGCATCAGTGTGGGTACCAGATGGCAGTCCTTACCATCTGGGTCTCCAGATTGTGTCCAGTCAACCCAGTGGGGAAGATATTTAAGTGGAAGGCCCTGCAGTGGCTGACCCACTATTTCCGCAGCTGTTGTATCTGTACCTTGGGGACCCACCAGCATCAGAATCCCCTGGGTTGCTAGTTGGAATGCAGATTCCTTGGCTCACTGATACAGTCTTAACCCTGTGTCCAGGAGAATTTTTAACAAGCTCCAGGTTATTCTCACCACTATTAGAGAACCACTGATTCATCCCCCAATTTTATAGAAAACTGCTTAGAATGTAAAAATGACTTAATACCACTTTACTTAGCGATGAAATCAGGACTTAAATCTGGGCGTCTTGAATGCTAATCATGTATTCTTTCTTTCACACATGCAAGGATCCAGAAAATAGGTGTAGGGGACTAGTTCATATCTCATGGTCTCCAATTTTTCTGTCTCCTAGCAATTTTGGTTGGTTGGATCAGTGTGTGTGTTATGGAAGCACATAAAGGGTGTGCCATATTAAATGTAAAATACAAACATTGAAGCTGAGGCTTCTGGATTTAAGACCTTGAGCAGTTTGGGGGAGGAGGCAGCTGTTTTAAAAACAGGAAACAATGAAGAGAATAGAATTAGCAGATCTAGATGGAGCCTTTTCCTGCTCTTTCTAAAGATGCTTTCAAAAAATGCATAGCTGGATGTACTTTTCTTTGGTGTTCTGCAAAGAATGGGATGAAAAATAGAATTTTGCCTGTTTAACTTCAGGTCATCAATTTTCCATTGTAGTGTTAAGTATGTATGCATAGCTGGATGTACTTTTCTTTGGTGTTCTGCAAAGAATGGGATGTAAAATAGAATTTTGCCTGTTTAACTTCAGGTCATCAATTTTCCATTGTAGTGTTAAGTATGTTCATTATCGTAGTTTTCCATCATTAACCTTTTGGGCTGCACCTTCTCTATTCCCCACTTTCTGAGGTTACTGGGGTCCCAGATCTGCTGCTTGATTGATGATGTTCCTGTGGTTTGGCAGAAGGATGGGTAAGAGTAATGACTAGCACTCCTGCTTTTGCCATAACCAGGTCTGCCTGCAGTTACCTCAGTGAACAAGAGAGTGTAATTCTGTGGTTAGGAGTTGAGAGCTCTGGAGTCCTATGGACCTGGAATCAACCCCTGCCTCACCACTGCAACCTGTGGGGACCCTGGAACAGGCTCCAGGCTGTCTTTCTTCAGCTATAATTCGGGGCAGATTGGTGAGAGGACTGAAAGCTTAGTGCAGTACCTGGTATGTGGTTGATTGTCCCTTTAATGTTATCATGATTAATTATTCTTGTAGGGTTATCAAAGAAATTACATTTCTTTAATTAAAACATGAAATCTTTTGTGTCTCTGCAGACCTTCTCTGGGGAGGAGGATGTGCTGGGAAGTGAATTGTGCTATCAAAACTAAGGTTCCAAATTCCAAGAGGATTGTTAGTTCCTGGTGGAGATTCACAGTCCCTAGATGCTCAGTCATAGGGACACTAGCAATTCATTATTGAGAACCTGAGTCTTGCAAAGCCCTGCTGTCGAGCTATTTTACCTGCCCATAATCCTATCAACTGAGCCAATTGTCGAGCTAGGGCTGGGTCTGGAGCTCACAGACCCCTCAAGCCCATTCACAGACTGGGTCACAAACCCTTCACATGCCAGGCTGGGTCCCCAGAACCCTTCACATGCAGGTCTATGAGCTAGGTAATCTGCCAAAACGTCCTTGGAGCTGTAGGTTCGAGAGTATGGACCACAGGCGGATGCCTGAGGCAGTGAATCCCAGCCATGCCCCAGCACCGGGCATAACACTAAAAACACACACACACACACACACACACACACACACACACCACACACACACACACACACACACAC